AATTCTAATTCAAAAAATGCCGAAAAAACTTTGTTTGCATTCTTTGTGCCAATCATTTGGTATTAGATTTTGAATAGAAAGCAAGAATTGGTTGAGAAGACAGACTTTGTTGCGATCGGAGCACTCGCTTAGCTGTAATTCGTATGCATTTTGCGATTCCGTAACATTCAAGTAATGCAATTCAATGCTGTGTTTGCCCTCAAATGAGTACAACTCGATGAAAACAGTAGCGCCTAAACCCATAGCAAACAGCGATTCAGTATTTTATTTAAATATTGCTTGAATTAAATAAAATGTGAGATTAAATACCGAAACCAATGTTTCTATTATTGTAAACATTGAGAGCATTGAGAAGAAGACCCACTTGAATGTCGTGCTATTAAAACATAGAGAAAAGTTGGCAAATAAGGTGTGAAAAATATTCAATACTATAACATATTCAACACATATTACCGTTGAATAGATAAACATCTTATATCGAAATCTCTGATCTTCCAGCGATTGCTTTATACGACTGGAGATATCCTTCAATAGTAATCCTAATCTCAGACACAATCGTATGTTTTAATGCCATAAATAGATGTTATATAAGAGATAAGATGTAATCAATATGTGAGACATAATACCCGCGCGTAATCTTCTTTGCAAATGAGTGAATGAGTCGAAAACAAAGACCATTTCGTGAAATTCACGCAAACAATGATAAACCGTTTGGTTAAGCCATTCAATCTTTTTATATCGATGAATCTTATGGATCTCTAATGTATTGTAGAGATTACCAGCGCTCGAGTCATCCAACTTTTCGCCACACTTTTCTGATGTATACTTCAATAATTGCTGCAAAAATATCATTATTTGTCAAATAATAGATCAAACAATCGTATAATAAACCTAATCGTAAATTTTGAGACAATAAATACCTGATGTTTAGCTAATAAATGTTTGACAGTCTTTGACTGTGAAATTGCTTCTCTATCCTTTGTGGCCGCCGGACATATCGATCGCGGATTTAACATCTATTATACATTTAATTAGCGTTCATAATATACAAGTATACGTTTAATATTGATATATACCCCGTCCTCATTGAATTCAACGGTATGTATGGGAATGGGCTGCCAGTGTCGGCCCAAATCGTTATTCCACTTCCAACGGCCTGTCGGCGGATAAAGACCGGCCGCCAGGAGTGACACACTCTCCAGACACCGATCCTTACCTGNCTGTCGGCGGATAAAGACCGGCCGCCAGGAGTGACACACTCTCCAGACACCGATCCTTACCTGAGCTCCTGATATACACTTCACGGGGAGAATCAGTCAAAAAGTTTTTATACCTCTTTCGCATATATTGGCCCAATAAATACATCCGTTGTTTGCCTTTCTATTGAGTGACAATTGTTTTGGGATTTTTATAAATGTTTTAATGTTAGTACTGTATTAGTCGTCGATGGGCTACCTGTGTGAGCATCTCAGGCCCGTCGGGCCAGTGTTTATCATAATCCCTGTACGGATCGTTTGGGAAAGTATAGTCCGGTGTCCTCTCCCCGTGTCTGTGTATCTATAAAACGCTCGCATTGTATGATTGCATTCAATTCAATGCATTTTTAAAGACTTACAGCGAATACTAGTTTTAATTGTTTGGTTTGTGTCGATGAGACAAATTGCAAAAATATGAGCGCAAAAATAATACAAATTTCTTTCCTTTTCATCATTAATATCGGTAATATTTGTTGGGTTACTATTTTTTAAATTCTGTGTTTATATTTAAACATTAATGTAATTTTATAACTGTATTTCATTTGCAATAATTAATAACAATATAACAAACATTGAGTGCTTTTTAAATTGATAAAATACAGCACATTGTAAACGCACGCAAAGCAAGAATGAAATGAGAAAATGATTTATTTGTTGATTTTGACGATTAAATAAATTACAACAAACATTCAATTCGTGTTTCACTTCTATTTATATATACATAGATTGGCCGACAAATTATGACAGCAAATAATGGTTATAGAGATGATATGGTAATGAAACAAACCGTTAAACATTTTATTTTTATAAATATATTTCAATGTTATAGTTATTTGAAATTGGTAATTTTAAACATTGTGTATTGATATACAGAATTCGAAAATGGTAATTTATAAAATTAGAATTTATAATAGCAATTCAAAATGGTCGATTCAGCATTATTCATATAAATATATAGAGAATAGGGCCATAATATTCTTCATAGGATTAGCATAAGCCAATGAAAGTATGATCATGAAAGCATGTTAAAGTATGATCAGTTATCACTTGGGATTTTATGAAATTGCCTTTTTAAATTGGGTAATAAATGTGAGGCAATGAATGATGTTGGGACGAAGTGCCCGAAAATAGGCCCACATTTGAGTATTTGTATCATTTCTTCGAGGATTACTTCGTGGCCACAGAAAGACAATACCATAGGGCGGACGATAACATGGATGACCAATGATTTATAACTTCATTGTTCCACAAATGACTTACATTTTAAATCTTAATTAATTGTTCGCTTAATAAACATATTTTTAAAAATGTATTTAAAGTCATTGTAATGAATGAGAAATATTTTTGGTCAAAGACACTGTGGCCTAAACCGGTTATTATTGAATCGCACGGAACTTTTAATGCGGTAAAAGAAACTTTTAACACGTAACTTTATCCGGTGGAGGACTGTCGCCTCATACACTACTGTCCCCTATATTCACAAATGTAAACATCAATAATAAAATATAATTTTCACATTCAAAGTGAAGTTTGAAAATTGTAACTTCATCTTCACTTTTTAATTTGAATGCTTAAAACTATAATTAATTATTAATTTAAACTAAAATGATATTTAAGGGCATTAAAGAAAGTAAGCAATAATATTCAGTATTAACAGTAATAGATTAGTCCATGAAATAAAGCTCATGTATTGAATGTATTCAATGTAATTGCTTTTTATTTTACAATTTAATGATAAATTCTAATTCAAAAAATGCCGAAAAAACTTTGTTTGCATTCTTTGTGCCAATCATTTGGTATTAGATTTTGAATAGAAAGCAAGAATTGGTTGAGAAGACAGACTTTGTTGCGATCGGAGCACTCGATTAGATGTAATTCGTATGCATTTTCCGATTCCGTGACATTCAAGTAATGCAATTCAATGCTGTGTTTGCCCTCAAATGAGTACAACTCGATGAAAACAGTAGCGCCTAAACCCATAGCAAACAGCGATTCAGTATTTTATTCAAATATTGCTTGAATTAAATAAAATGTGAGATTAAATACCGAAACCAATGTTTCTATTATTGTAAACATTGAGAGCATTGAGAAGAAGACCCACTTGAATGTCGTGCTATTAAAACATAAAAAAAAGTTGGCAAATAATGTGTGAAAAATATTCAATACTATCATAAATTCAACACATATTACCGTTGAATAGATAAACATCTTGTATCGAAATCTCTGATCTTCCAGCAATTGCTTTATACGACTGGAGATATCCTTCAATAGTAATCCTAATCTCAGACACAATCGTATGTTTGAATGCCATAAATAGATGTTATATAAGAGATAAGTTGTAATCAATATGTGAGACATAATACCCGCGCGTAATCTTCTTTGCAAATGAGTGAATGAGTCGAAAACAAAGACCATTTCGTGAAATTCACGCAAACAATGATAAACCGTTTGGTTAAGCCATTCAATCTTCCTATATCGATGAATCTTATGGATCTCTAATGTATTGTAGAGATTACCAGCGCTCGAGTCATCCAACTTTTCGCCACACTTTTCTGATGTATACTTCAATAATTGCTGCAAAAATGTCATTATTTATCAAATAATAGATTAGACAATCGTATAATAAACCTAATCGTAAATTTTGAGACAATAAATACCTGATGTTTAGCTAATAAATGTTTGACAGGCTTTGACTGTGAAATGGCTTCTCTATCCTTTGTGGCCGCCGGACATATCGATCGCGGATTTAACATCTATTATACATGTAATTAGCGTTCATAATATACAGGTATACTTTTAATATTATTATATACCCCGTCCTCATTGAAATCAACGGTATGTATGGGAATGGGCTGCCAGTGTCGGCCCAAATCGTTATTCCACTTCCAACGGCCTGTCGGCGGATAAAGACCGGCCGCCAGGAGTGACACACTCTCCAGACACCGATCCTTACCTGAGCTCCTGATATACACTTCACGGGGAGAATCAGTCAAAAAGTTTTTATACCTCTTTCGCATATATTTGCCCAATAAATACATCCGTTGTTTGCCTTTCTATTGAGTGACAATTGTTTTGGGATTTTTTATAAATGTTTAAATGTTAGTTTTGATCGTCAATGGACTACCTGTGTTAGCATCTCAGGCCCGTCGGGCCAGTGTTTATCATAATCCCTGTACGGATCGTTTGGGAAAGTATAGTCCGGTGTCCTCTCCCCGTGTCTGTGTATCTATAAAACGCTCTCATTGTATGATTGCATTCAATTCAATGCATTTTCAAAGACTTACAGCGAATACTAGCTTTAATTGTTTGGTTTGTGTCGATGAGACAAATTGCCAAAATATGAGCGCAAAAATAATACAAATTTCTTTGCTTTTCATCATTAATAGCGGTAATATTTGTTTGGTTACTATTTTTTAAATTCTGTGTTTATATTTAAACATTAATGTAATTTTATAACTGTATTTCGTTTGCAATAATTAATAACAATATAACAAACATTGAGTGCTTTTTTAAATATATAAAATACATTAAACGCACGCAAAGCAAGAATGAAATGAGAAAATAAATCATTTGTTGATTTTGACGATTAAATAAATTACAACAAACATTCAATTCGTGTTTCACGTCTCTATTTATACATAGATTGGCCGACAAATTATGGCAGCAAATAATGGTTATAACGATGATATGGTAATGAAACAAACCGTTAAACATTTTATTGTTAAAAATATATTTCAATGTTATAGTTATTTGAAATTGGTAATTTTAAACATTGTGTATTGATATACAGAATTCAAAAATGGTAATTTATAAAATTAGAATTTATTATATCAATTCAAAATGGTCGATTCAGCATTATTCATAGAAATATATAGAGAATAAAGAGGTAATATTTTTCATAGGATTAGCATAAGCCAATGAAAGTATGATCATGAAAGCATGTTAAAGTATGATCAGTTATCACTTGGGATTTTATGAAATTGCCTTTTTAAATTGGGTAATAAATGTGAGGCAATGAATGAGCTTATATATGATATTCAAAATTTATCAAGTACAGAATTGTGGTTTAAAATAATTAAAATTTCTTTTCAAAGTGAAGAATGTATAAATTGTGCATTTTTGTGATCATTGACCATGATGAGATTGTGCGACAATACCATAAATAATTACAAATATATACAACCAAACGTTGTCAACAAGTGTTTCATCTGATTATACTATAATTGAATTCTTGTTAAAATAATTTAAATTCTTGTCAATGTTTTAATTGTTTTTATATAACATATTTTGTCATTCATTTATTGATTAATTCGCAAAACAGTCCAATTAATAGAGAAAATAAAATGACATTATTATATGAAAAAACATATTGTCTTACAAATTAATAAAATGATCAGCGAATGAATGAATCGATAGATAAATCAATATTGATAAAAAAATTAATATTTAATAATTAATTAAGTTATAATGATAAACAAATTCCTGGTCCATAAGTTTTGAAAGCATTTTTCGCCGCAAAATTCATTTTATTCACTGAAAATACAAAATTCTTGCCTTTAATGAGACATTCATTTTATTATATAATAATCTGAACAATGAATTAGAATTTTATTAAATTTGAATGAATTTTTATTTTGTGAGAAATATGTTCTCAAAAATAATTCTGTTTTTCGGACTTAATCGACAATATTTGACATCAAAATGAGAGGATATTTGCAAAAAAATACATTAAATTAATGAAATAAAAAAAATGGATTATTATTACATATTCTTTGAATATAGAAGAGAGAGAGAGAGAGAGAGAGAGAGAGAGAGAGAGAGAAATTAAATGTAGCTTAAACTTAATGATCCATTTGCTAAATGCATTAAATGTATAATACCTTAAAATTTATTTCTGTAATATTCTGAATTTATAGTTTGACCATTCATTGTTTAATCATAAATAATTAACTTATTAAAAATATAT